CTCGCGCTCTCTCTCTCTCTGTGTGCCTCCCTGGTCATAAATTAAAAACAAATAAAGGACCAGCAGTTGGCGTAATATCTATGTCCCTGGACTCCCATGTAGTCAACCATGGTTCGAGTCTTGGACCCAGTGGCTTTAACTCACACCGGGTGCGTGTGCGTGCGTGCCCAAGATCCCGAGAGGAGAATGGAGGAGAAGGGATTGCGGCGTGGCCGTCCCCCCTGGGGGGTGATTTCTCGCTCTCTGTCTCTCTCTTTCTGGCGAGCGCACGCACCCTATAGCAAAAACTGCTAAAAAAACACAACCAAAAACAAACCAGACACACAAAAAAACCAAACAAATAATGAATGAGTAAAATAAATAAATACATAAATAATTCTTAAAAAAAAAAAAAAAAAAAGAAAAAATCAGGTGCATGTGTGTGCGTGCCCAAAATCCCGAGAGGAGAATGGAGGAGGAACTGGGGTGTGGCCATCTCCCAAGGGGTGATCTCTCACTTTCCCTCTTGTAGTCTCTCTCACTGAGTGCCCATGCTTTTTGACAAAAACCTTAAAAAGAAAAAATAAATAAATCAAAGAACTTCTGGGATGGCTGTACCCTCGTGACTGAGGGAGCTGGGTCCCACGCGCCTGACCCCGGTGGGCTGGAAAGCACGCTGAGTGAGTGGGTGTGCCTCGAACCCTGAGGGGATGGAGAGGGGACTGCAGTGCGACCACAGTCCACGCGGGGCGCTTCCCCCATCGCTCTCTGGCAGTTAAAGGAAAAAGAGCGAAGAGTCCCTCGGGACAGGCCTTGGGTGCTGACAAGCTCCAGCCCTGAGGACACTGCGGGGACCAGCACCGTCCCCCCTCCCCAGGGCCAGTGGAGAGGGGCAGCCGTGGGAGGGCGCGGGGAGGCCAGTGGGGCTCTGTGCTCCTTGCCAGGCCCTCGGAGAGTCACAAATGCGGCCCGTGTGTTAGGAGCGACAGTGAGTCCTGGGCGCACGCCAGCCAATGGGCGCACGCCAGCCAATGGGCGCACGCTCTGAGCCTCGGTTTCCCCGCCTCTAAGTGGGGCTAGACAACGCGGTCGCTGCGGCTGCTGGGGCTGAGGGTGCTGCGTCAGCAGCTGGTCCCAGGACCCTGCACCATCTTAGAGGTTAGTCCAGGGGCCGGCAGGTAGCAGGGTGGTTGAGGTGCTGGACTCGCATACGGCCAACCTCTGCTAGAGTCCTGGACCTGGTGACTTTACTCTCCCTCGCTCTGTCTCTTTCTGGTCAAACTGAGTAATACTACTAATAATAAATAACTGTTTAAAAACCAAGTTGAGCGCAAACAGCTCGAGCCGATGTGAAACTAAGAGTCCGTACGCATTCACTCGCAGAAGAACCCTTCCACGTGGGACAGGCCGCTCTGTGAACGGTAAGCACGGTGCGGCGTGGACCAAGACTCACGCGCGGGCACTGGGCTGTGCTGTGAAGGCGTGAAGTGTAAACCTAATCCCCCCGCTGGATACCGGGTGGGGCCTCGGGTAGTGACAGGTCGTCAGGGAGGGACCCCGTGCCTGAGTCCTGGTGCGTTTACAGCAGAGGGGAGACGACCGGAAGGGAGGAGCACCCAGCTCTGCTCCGTCCCGCCTCCCGCGCTGTGCCGCCTCTGCACTGCCGGGACCCTGCGCTTTGCCGATAAACCTGTTCTCTTTCCTTCCTGCTTTTCCTTCCCTCCCTCCCTCCCTCCTTCCTTTCTCTTTTTTAGAGATTTTTGCCACAGGGTGCGTGTGCTCACTGGAGAGACAGAGACAGGAAGTGAGGACTCGCCCCCCCCCCGGAAATGTACGC